CAGGTGGATGGTGGGTGGACAGGTGGATGTTGGACGGGTGGGCGTTGGGTGGACAGGTGGGCGTTGGGTGGACAGACGAACATTGGGTGGACAGGCGGGCGTTGGGTGGACAGGTGGATGTTGGACGGGTGGATGTCATTGGGTGGACGTTGGTGGGTGGATGGTGGACAGGTGGATGTTGGGTGGACAGGTGGGCGTTGGTCAGGTGGACGTTGGGTGGACATTGGGTGGACAAGTGGACGTTGGGTGGACAGGTGGGCGTTGGGTGGACAGGTGGGCGTTGGGTGGACAGGTGGATGTTGGTCGGGTAGACATTGGGTGGACATTGGGTGGACAGCCGGACATTGGGTAGACAGGCGGACGTTGGGTGAACAGGTGGATGTTGGTCAGGTGGACATTGGGTGGACATTAGGTGGACAGGTGGACATTGAGTGGACAGGTGGATGTTGGCCAGGCGGACATTGGGTAGACAGGCGGACATTGGGTGAACAGGTGGACGTTGGGTGGACAGGTGGACGTTGGGTGGACAGGCGGACGTTGGTCAGGTGGACATTGGGTGGACATTAGGTGGACAGGTGGACGTTGGGTGGACAGGCACACATTGGGTGGACAAGTGGATGTTGGTCAGGTGGACGTTGGGTGGACATTGGGTGGACAGGTGGACATTGGGTGGACAGGTGGACATTGGGTGGATAGGTAGACGTTGGTCAGGTGGACATTGGGTGAACAGGTGGATGTTGGTCAGGTGGACGTTGGGTGGACAGGTGGGCGTTGGGTGGACATTGGATGGACAGGCGGACATTGGGTGGACAGATGGACATTAGGTGGACAATGGGTGGACAAGTGGACACAGGGTGGTCAGATGGACACAGGGTGGACACAGGACGAGGGTTTGGGGCTCCCAGGTGCGTTCCAGCCCTGCCCAGGTGTATTTTGGGGCTCCCCAGGTGTGTTCTCGTCCCCCCAGATGTGGTTTTGGGGCTCCCCAGGGGAGTTTTTGAATATCCAGGTGCATTTCTCCCCCTCCCAGGTACATTTTGGGATCCCCAGGTGCGTTTCTCCCCCTCCCAGGTACATTTTGGGGTCCCCAGGTGTGTTTCCCCCCCTCCCAGGTATATTTTGGGGTCCCCAGGTGTGTTTCTCCCCCTCCCAGGTACATTTTGGGGTCCCCAGGTGTGTTTCTCCCCCTCCCAGGT